GCAGAGAATCCAGAGGGATTTGGGGCCAGTTTCCCCCATTTCCACTGGTTCTCAACAGCATTAAGGGGGATTTGGGGCCAGTCCCCCTGTCCCTACTAGTCCCACCAGCATCCAGGGGGATTTGGGGTCATCCTCCTCTGTTCCCACTGGTTTCCAGCAGCATCCAGGAGGATTTAGGGCCAGTCCCCCTGTTCCCCCTGGTCCCAGATGCAGCCAGGGCAGCCCAGGGCTCTCCTGGCTCCCATCCCACAGCGGATCCAAGCCAGCCCTGGGCCATGGCAGCAGCAAAGCATTCGAGCTTCATCTGAGTGCAGAGCAAATTGTTTCCTTAACCAGGTTTATTCCTCCGAGGGAGGTATTTGCTTGAGAGATTTCCACTGGAAATTAAATCTTTCCTGGGATGCGGATAAACAGCCCCAGTTCCACGGAGCTGGGCTGGCAGGGGGGGCTGATCCCCGGCCTCAGGGGCCTGGAGGTGGCCCTGGGGAGTGTCCCCATCCCTGTCCCTGTCCCCATCCCGGTCCTTGACCCTTTGGCAATGCCAGCACCCCCAGGAGCTCCCGGGGGGAGGCGGAGGCAGCACCCAGAGCCCGGGGGTGCAGCGGGATGGATCCAGCACCCCCTGTGGGGTCAGTGGGGACATCCCGGGACATCCCAAAGGCAGCTCCGGCCCTGCCCCACCCCCTCTCGTTCCGTCCTGTCCTTCCTGAAGCTTTTCCCTCCCTTTCCCCACCTTTTCCCACTGCTGCTCCCTAATGAATTCAGAGAGTTCCAGCGATGGTTTCTGAGAGAATGGAAAACAATTATTTGCTCTGGTGGGGAATAGATGCTGTTTAGTCTGCATTTAATGGGGAGCTAATTAAATTACATGAGCAAGTGAAGAGAAATTTTTTGTTAATTATGAATTTTGCGAGCTACAAAAGAGAAATGATGATGATGGATCCTGTGATGTGCTGCCCTTCTCCCCAGCACAGAGATAAGATAACAACAGAGAAGGAATGGTGGGAACTCATTTTAACTCATCCATCAATTCTCCAACAGCCGCCTGAGCCCGATCCATTACCTGGGATCCACAGAGCTGATGGTGACTGGCAGCTGGGGGCTAATTATCCTCAAACTGGGGACAGGTTGCCTAAATAAGTGTGTGTTTCTTCCTGGAGGTGGCTTGGGAAGTCACAGCCTCACGGAATCCCTGAGTGGTTTGGCTGTGGGGATGTAAAGCTCATCCCATTTCACCCCTGCCCACCATCCCAGGGTGCTCCAAGCCCTGTCCAGCCTGGAGCTGGGCTGGACCCAGGGATGGGGCAGCTCTGATCCTGGGCCTGGGACATCCCTGGAGTCAGGGCTGGAGCAGCCTTGAGCCCAGGGATGGAATATCCTTGAGCCCAGGGCCAGGATGTTCCTGAGCCCGGGGCTGGAGCATCCTTGACCCCACAGCCATGGCCTCTACCACCCCAGGGATGGAGCATCCCTTACCCAGGGCCTCTACCACCCCAGGGATGGAGCATTCCTGATCCTGAGTCTGGGACATCCCTAACTCAGGGCTGGAGCATCTTTGACCCCAGGACTGGGACATCCCTGCTATCCATGGCTGGAGTGTCACTGACCCCAGGGATGGGGGGTCCTTGACCCCACAGCCATGGCCTCTGTGACCCCAGGCATGGGGAATTCCTGATCCTGGCTCTGGGTCATCCCTGGATCCAGGTCTGGAGCATCCCTCACCCCAGGACTGGGGCATTCATGACCCTGGGGATGGAACATTCCTGACCTGACTCTGGAACATCCCAGGAGTCAGGGCTGGAGCAATGTGACCCCAGGACTGGGACATCCCTGATCCCAAACCTGGGACGTCCCTGGTATCCATGGCTGGAGTGTCACTGTCCCCAGAGATGGAGCATCCCTCACCCTGGGGCTGGAGCACTCCTGACCCCAAACTGGCCATCCTTTACCCCAGGGCTAACCCTGACCCCAAACTGGGCCATCCTTTACCCCAGGGCTGACCCTGACCCCAAACTGGGCCATCCTTTACCCCATGGCTGACCCTGACCCCAAACTGGGCCATTCTTTACCCCAGAGCTAACCCTGACCCCAAACTGGGCCATCCTTTACCCCAGGGCTGACCCTGACCCCAAACTGGGCCATTCTTTACTCCAGGGCTGGGCCATCCCCAGACCCAAAGCCAGAGCATCCCTGGCCCTGGGACTGAGATGTTCCTGTCCCCAGGCTGCTCCAGCCCTGCCCATACAGACAAAAACCTGACTTTGGTGTAAAAATATCAGTTTAGTGAAAAAACCTGATGTCTCTGTGTTCTGTTTATACCCCTGGCAGGGAGAGCTCTCTCTGGCATAAAGATACAGATGGTTTTTGACTTCAAACACTCGGGTTTAGTGGAAAGAGAGGATTTTGTGTACCTGGGGAAGAGATCCCATCTGGCTGCTCCTGCCCTGGGGGTGCAGAGCTCAGCTGGGTCAGATCCAGCCCCTGCCAGAGCCAGGTGGCCATGGGGGACAGGGGACAGCCCTGTCACCCCATCACAGCATGTGGGGTGGCAGAGTCTCAGCCTTGATGGGGTTGTTCCTCTCCCTTCTCCATCCCACAGGAGATTTGGGAGGAGGCTCTGACCCCCCCAGGGGTGTTGGGGAAACTGAGGCACAGCAGGGCTTGGTGGGAGCACAGCTGGGGATCAAAGCACAGAGCCTGGTGGCTCCCTCCCATTTCCCACCCCCCACCATTAATTACAGGACCCTTTTTGGATTTCCTCTGATATTTTCTCTGTAGTTTTGGCCACTGGGGCTTTGTCTTGCACACAAACCCCAGGGTGGGGTGTGGGGTGGCAGGTTCTGAGCCGAGCAAAGCACAAAGCCCTGGGCTCATTCCCCACCCTCTCCTGGATGAAGTTGTCTCCTCTCCTCCCAGGGAAGCTCCATGACAGGGTTTATTGACCTTTTTTTAATCTAAAATTGATTCTTTGCAAAACTCCACCTGCTTGGGAGCCAGGCGGGATCTCGGTGCCATTGGATGGGAATTTATGATTTCCCATCAAAGCATTTTGCCTTTCCCTGGTGGTTTGGGGGGGTGCAGGAGGGCTGAGCTGAGCAGATTTGCCTGCCCGTGGCCAAGGAGATGCTGTGGGATGCATTTTTGACCTGTGAGATGATCCCAACCCCTCTGATCCAAATTTCTGCTGTGTTTAAATCCCAGAGGAGCCCAAAAGCTGAATCCTGGAGCTGTGGCTGTACCAGGATAACCCTCAGGAGCCTGAGACAGAACGGGATGAAGGCAATGGGACCTGTCCCAGGTGAAACCTGGGGATCCCAGAGCCAGGAGAGCTGGGAGGGATGGCCCAGCCCACGCTGGGGGTGTCCCAGCTCCACAGCTTGGCCTGCAGGGAGCTGTGGGAATACTCAGGGCTGGTGGAGGTCACCCAGCCAGGCCAGGGGGGAACAAACCACGTCTGAGGCTGCTCCTGCTCCCAGGAGCCCGGTTCAGAGCAGCCCTCCAGGAACCCACTGCATCTTTGCCGTGTGTGTGTCTGAATGCACAAAGCCAAGCGTTTCCTGCAAAGCCCCCTCTGTCAGCCTCAGCCTCCCCAAACGCCCCCGGGAGCACGGAACAGCCCCGGGGCAGAGAAATCCCCATCGTGGAGGATGAAGGAGAAGCTCCAGGTGTGGGAGGTGGGATGAGCACAGGGATGAGCCCTGGCAAGCTTGGGTGGGTTTGGACCACACACACAAATGCAGCTTCATCCCCCGGATGCCGTGTGGATGCTCTGACACCTAAGGCTGTGTGGGGTGGGTTTAGAAGATGCTTCCTTCTGAACATCGGCGCTGAGGATTAAGAAATCGTGGAAATTAAAAGCTACAAACTGTTTCCAAGTGCTTCTGCCAGGCGGCATTTCAGCCAGAGGTTTCTAAAGCGCTAGGAAAGCAGCATGCCGGTGATTCCTCGCGCTCTGCGATGTCCCCGAAGGTGTGCTGTGAAAACAGAACAAAGGCGAGCGGGTGGGTGGCGGTGAGGGGCCGTGTCAGCCCTGTCTGCACCCACGCCCTGCCCAGGCACTCTGCCTCCGGCCGGCACTCGCCGCTGGCCCCAGCCGCGTGTGCCGAGCGGGGCTCTGCGGAGCGGGGGCTCTGCGGGGGGATGCGGGGCGCTCCCGCCGGGCTCGGCCATCTGTCCTCCCCGCAAGCCCAGCTGCTGCGCGGGCATGGCCACCCCAGGGGAGGCGGCGGGGTCCCTGTGCTGCGGGTCCAGGCGCCGCCCAAGGGCCGCAGGGCCGGGGGATGCAGGGGGGATGCGAGGGGATACGGGGGGGATACGGGGGGAGCATCTCGCAGCCCTTCCCCAGGGTCTCACCCAGCCGCACCTGGTTCCGGAGGAGGCGAAAAAAGAATTATAACAAAAATCTGCGCTTCAAAAGACAAACGCTGATGATTAAGGATAAGGATAAGGCCAGGCGGGAGCCGCGGTGCGGCGGAGGGGCCGCGCTGCCCGCGCTGCCCGCGCCCCCGGAGGCCGCCAAGGGCTCGGCGCGGCTCGGCGTGCCCGCCCGCGCCCCGCCCCGCCCGGCCGCGCCGCCCGCCGCGCCCCGCCGGCTGCCGCGTCCCGCCTTGTTCCGGCCGCGCCGCCCGGCCCCGCCCGCGCCCCCCGCCCGCCCGCCCGGGGCGCGGAGCGCGGCTGTGCGGGAGACAATAGCGGAGCGCACGGCTCCGCGCCGGGCCGGGCATGGGCGGCCAGGGCTGCGCGGCCCCGCGGCCCCCGCGCCGCCCGAGCGGGCTCTAGCGGGGCGGGGGGCGGAGGGAGAAGGGGGCGATGCCCCGCGCCGAGCCCAGCCCGCCGCTGTGCTGAGCCGGCGGGGCTGGCCCGAGGCTGGAGAGCGGGACATGGTGCTGGAGCCCCCCGTGACGCTGCCCGGGTGGCCAAGGGGCGGCTGCTGAGGAGCTGGAGCGCGGCGGCGGAGCGAGGCCACGGTGAGGGAGCCCCGAGGATCCGGCTGGGGAGCCATGGGGAGATGCAACGGGCGATGCACGCTGGTGGGATTCTGCTGCCTGCAGCTGGTAAGGCTCATCGGCATGCCGGGGGTGCTTTGTGCGAGATGCTGCCTGTCACCGCTCCCCACGCCGCCTCGGCGGTGACCTTGTGTTGGGACCAGCTCGGGGATGCTTCACCATCACCCAAAAAGAAAAAACCCAGAGGAGAGAAAATATGCTGATCTAAAAGACAGGCAGTGCCACCCTCATCTCCTGCCTCAAGCCGGCGCTGGCCGGGGAGGTGGATGGGGACCCCTTCCCTGCGCTGTCAGTGCCCGAGGTTGCGTCTCCAGCAGGTGTGAGCTTTGTTCCCAACTGCAATCTCTTCCCTCCGAGTTGACTCCCGCCCGCGGTTTCCCATTCTGGTGACTCCGCGGCTGCGTCTCGGGGTGCTGGTCCCCTGAGTCGGGGCGAGAGGGAAACTTGGAGCCGCCGGCAGCACTTTGGAAACTCTGCTGCTCCTGAGCGGGACCCACCTGCCCGCGGTGGGGGGCACCGGGCTGTGGCAGCAAGGAGAAAGGAGAGGCTTGATTTTCACGGGATTGTGGGGTTTCATTTGTGGGATTTCGTGACAATTCCGTGCCGCGCTTGCCGCCGCCCGCGAATCAATCTTCATCAGGCTCTGCCCGAGGAGCCGGCGAAGGGAGCGCGGGGGGCATCCGGGGGGTTCTGCTCAAACCAGCGCCGGCGAGGTTGCGATTAATTATCCCGGCAGGGTGGTGCGTTAATGGAGACTCAGCCGCCTCCTACCCGCACCCGCGGCCGTGCCGGGCGAGGAGGGCAGGGAGGGACTGCTGAAATCTGTGGGGTCAGCTCGTGGTGTCCCCGGCACGGGGGTGATGGATGGATGGATGGACGCGGCGATGGGAACGGGCTCAGAGCCCTCTGGAGATGATGGTGGCATCCTGCTGACAGGCACTTTCTTCCCGGCTCTTGCTCATCCTTCATCCTCCAGAAGGCAGCGGGTGGGGAGGGGTCCCCGCTTTTGGATGGGGGTACACGAGGCGAGGATGGGGAAGCTTTGAAGCCGGTGCTCAGCCCTGGGATCATCCCCAGGCTGGAGTCCTCCATTCCCAGCAGGAATGGCCTCGGTGTCCCCAGCTGTCCCCTCGCTTTGGGCTGTGCAGTCTCGCTTGGCGTTTTGCTCACCTGATCCAGGATAAATCCAGCAGGGCTTTTCCAGGTGTGCAGGAGTTTCCTGGCTCTTGGTCACATTCCTTTTCACCACTCGGCTCCCAGGCAGGTTTGGTGATGATTACTCCCTGAGATATCCCAAATCAGAGAGGTTTTAATCTGTTCATTTCGGGGAAGGCTGAATAGGTGTGAGCTCCTGGGCTGGGAGAGCAGCTCCTGCTCACACCCAAGGAACTTTGTGCTGCTGATTGGGGTCAGGCTGTCCCCTCCACCTTCCCTCCGTGTGTCCTGGTGCTGTTGGCATCCCCAAAGGCTCCAATCCCTTACCAGGGACCTTCCCCTTCCCTCTCCAGGCTCATCCTGAACCAGTTCATCCTTTGGGATGCTCTCCAGAGCTCCTTCCTGGGTTTGGAGGCAGCAGCTTCCACCCCCTCTGGGGAGATCCCCCCAACCCTCAGCTCCTCACCCCAAGCTGAGGGGTCTGGGTGCCCAGATGGGGATGGCATGGCAGGCTCACGTCCCCCCACCTGTCCTGGGCCCTCTGTCCTGTGGGTGGGGACAGCTGTGTCCCCAGTGTGCCCAGTCAGGGGGCTGGGGTCACCCTGGTGAGTGTGGGGCTGCCCCATGGCTGCAGGAGCAGCTCGTGCCACCAGCGAGGCTGCCCAGGGAGGTCACAGCTCAGCTGAGCCCCCTGGGCCACCCTGGGCCCCACTGTCCCTTCAACAGCAGCGTGGTGACATCCTGAGGTGATGCCACCTGCTCCTTCCTGCCCAGCCCAGGCACCTTCCCTTTGCTCCCTGTGTGCCACTGTCACCTCACAGCCACCTTCCCATGGCTCCCTGTGTGCCACTGTCACCCCTTGGGCACCTTCCCATGGCTCCTGTGTGCCACTGTCACCTCACAGCCACCTTCCCTTGGCTCCCTTTGTGCCACTATCACCCCTTGGGCACCTTCCCTTTGCTCCCTGTGTGCCACTGTCACCTCACAGCCACCTTCCCATGGCTCCCTGTGTGCCACTGTCACCCCTTGGGCACCTTCCCATGGCTCCCTGTGTGCCACTGTCACCCCTTGGGCACCTTTCACACCCAGCTGGTTTCCCAATATCCATGACCTGCTCCCTCACCCCCTGGCCCCAGGGATGCTCTGGATGTCCCCAGGTGCAGCTGGCACCCACTGGGCACAAGGTCCCTGATCCAGAGGGGCCCTGCTGAGCCCTGCCTGCTCCAGCCCACCCCTGAACCAGGTTGGGAAGCTCCTTTTTGGGCCATGACACAACAGGAGCTGCTTTGGAGCACTCAAACACCCCCCAGGCTCCTTCCCCCCTGGCAAGGCCGTGCTGTGAGTGCTGGCTGACCCAGTCCTGGGGACAGGCAGAACGTGCCACATTTTGCCTCCTTTTATGGTTTTTCCCTGAAAAAATCCTCTTGGCAAACCCCCACTGGCTGTGCCCTGCCTCGGGAGGGGCCACCTGCAGATGTTTGTGATAATGAGGTGGGATAAAACCCAAAGCCCGGGGTTTTGCTGGTTTTCCCTGCAGCTGGGAGACACCAGCCCCTCTCTGTGCCCCGTGTTTGTGGGATTCACCCTCTCTGTGGGAAATGGGAATGCTGAGGGGTGGGATGGGGCAGGACCCAGGGTGGCGCTGCCCTGGTCAGGCAGGGATGTGGGAGCCACAGCATTTGTTCCTCTGCAGCCTGCAGGGGGGGGAACAGCTGTGCTCTGGGGCTGGGCCAGCCCTGGTGACATGGTACGGGATATCGGGATATTGGGGATATCGGGGTATTGGGACATCGGGATATTGGGATATTGGGGATATCGGGGTATTGGGACATCGGGATATTGGGACATTGGCATATCAGGACATCAGAATATCAGGACATCGGGATATGGGGATATTGGGATCTCGGGATATTGGGATATCAGGGTATTGGGATATTGGGACATCGGGATATTGGGACATCGAGATATCGGGATATCAGAATATCAGGACATCGGGATATTGGGATATTGGGATATCGGGACATCAGGATATTGGGATATCGAGATATCAGGATATTGGGATATTAGGACATTAGGACATCGGGATATTGGGATATCGGGATATTGGGATATCGAGACATTGGGATTTTGGTGTGTCAGGACATCAGGAGATTGGGATATCAGGATATCGGAACACTGGGATATTGGGGTATTGGGACATCAGGACACCAGGGTATCAGGATATTGGGACATCAGGATGGCAGGATATGGGCATATCAGGATACTGGGACATGCACTGCTGGCAGCTGTCAGGCCGGCTCTGTCCAGCTGCTGTCCCATGTCCCTTGGCCACCCCGCTCCGTGCCCCGTGGCCGAGCTCAGGCTCTGGTGCGGGATGGTTTTCCTGGAGCCGGCTCCTTCTCCATCCCAGACCGGCTCCTTCTCCATCCCAGACCGGCTCCTTCTCCATCCCACCCCACCGTCCCCTCCTCGCGGCCGCTCGGCCCCGCAGCCGGACGGGGACGGGGACGCTCCGTGCCCCCCCCCGCCTGCCAGAGCCGGCAGCCGCTTCCAGCCGGGCTCCCGTTTCCTTCTTTGTTTCTCTCCTTCTCCTTTAATTGGCTGGAAAAGCAGAGCTGGGTTGGCACCTCCCGCCTGCCGGAGCCTGCCAGGCTGGCGGGGTGCGGTGCGGGGCCGTGCGGTGACATGCGGTGCCGTGCCGTGCCATGCAGTGCCATGCAGTGCCATGCCGTACCATGCCATGCAGTGCAGTGCCGTGCAGTGCCGTGCCATGCCGTACCATGCCATGCCGTGCAGTGCCATGCAGTGCCGTGCAGTGCCATGCCGTGCCGTGCCATGCCATGCCGTGCCATGCCGTGCCGTACCATGCCGTGCTATACCATGCCGTGCTGTGCCATGCAGTGCCGTGCCATGCAGTGCCGTGCCATACCGTGCCATGCAGTGCCGTGCCATGCAGTGCCATGCAGTGCCGTGCCATGCAGTGCCATGCAGTGCCGTGCCATGCAGTGCCGTGCCATGCAGTGCCATACCGTGCCGTGCCATGCAGTGCCATGCCGTGCTGTGCCATGCCGTGCCGTGCCGTGCCATGCCGTGCCGTGCCGTGCCATGCCGTGCCGTGCCGTGCCGTTCCATGCCGTTCCATGCAGTGCCGTGCCATGCCGTGCCGTGTCATGCAGTGCCATGCCATGTCGTGTCATCCAGTGCCATGCCATGCCGTGCCATGCCAGAGCGGCGCTGCCGTGCCCGGTCCTTGCGGGGTCCGCGGGTCCATCCCAGCTTCTCCCCGAGCCGCGGGGTTCGGCGGCCCCGGGAGGCGCTGGGAGGTGACCCAAGGCTGGGGAAGGATCAGGAGTTTGGCTGAACGAGGGATGGGTGGAGGGAGAGGATGATCCTTCATCCCTGGGTGTCATCCCTGTGCGACAGCGGGACCCTCTGCACCCCTGGGGGCTCCGTGGCCCTCCTGTCCCATTCCACCCTCCCTTCCTGCTCTGATTTTCCTGGCTTGGCCACGGCCGCTGGGAACCACCCTCCTCCCACCTCTGCCGGCGTCTTTTGTCCTCGCCCGGCTCCGGGGCTCGGCCGGGGATGGCCCGAGCACCGCGGGGCTGGGGCGGCCCCGGCCGCATCCCCTCCCTCGGAAAGGGGGAAAGGAGCCCGGGCTGAACTCGGGCTGGAGGTTTTCAATTACACAATTAAATGCACAATTAGGTGTAATTACCAGCGCTCAGAAGGTGCGACTGTTCATAATGGGCTTGTAATCTACTGCCGCCGCTGTTTGTACTGCTCCTCTCCGCTCCCTAATGATTATGGAAAGCTTTCCCATTTGCATGGTTGCCATGGCAATGGGGGCTGGCAGGAGCGCGGGGATGGCGAGGGGAGTCCCTCAGTCCCCC